GCTCAAACCCTCAAAGGCAGATGGAGTCCAATGCTGACTGAGCAGCGGACCAGGGTTGGGGGAGATGCCCCCCAGGGAACCGTGAACTTGGAGGCCTTCTCAGGTCTGGTCTTGCTCACCCAGGACCCTCTTGCAACAAACCCACAGGTGCAGCCCAAACATCGGCAGAGCACCTGGAAGGGGTTAAAAATCATGCTGACGTCACAGACCGGCAGCCCCTGGCTGTCACCCCGAGCCCAGGAAGGAGACCCCCCCCCCCCCGACCTGGCCCTCTGTCCCCAGCAGTTGTTGCAAAGCCTGGCACAGACAGGTGCTCAATGAAACGTGTCAGTGGTAAGAATAGGTTTTGGTTTGTGGCTGAGACGCATAAAGTTAAAAAGAAATTTTAAATAGACTATTTTTTTCTTAGAGCAGTTTTAGGTTCACAGGAAAATTGAGGGAAAGGACAGAGATATTCCATATGCTCCCGGCCCCCTAAACTCCCCTACTAACAACGCCCCCCTGGACGGTGCATTAGTTACGGCTGATGCCCTACATCCTCACGTCATCGTCTCCAGGGTCCACAGTGTATGTGATGGTTCAGTCTTGCTACTCTCTGTGGACAAACGTACAGTGACATGTGTCCATCATTGTATCACACAGACTAGTTCCACTGCCTGAAAAACGCCCTGGGCTCTGCCTGCTCGTCCTTCTCCCAGAGGGTAGCCTGGTCTTTCTGCTGCGTCCACAGCTCTGCCTTCCGCAGAGTGTCTCAGGGTTGCGAATGTCACAGGGCTGCGTATGCCGCCTTTTCGGATTGACTTCTTTTGCGTGGAAACATGCATCTAGGTTCCTCCCTGTCTTTTCGTGGCTTTAGTTCGTTCCTTTCTGGGGCTGAAGCATAGCCCATGGTCTGAGCAGAGCACACTTTTCACCCCATAGGAAAGAAAAGCACTTTCTGGCCCATGGAACGTGGACCGAACTGGGTCCTGGGGACACCACAGCCCCAGTGGCGCATTTCGGAATCTACTGTCCCCGGAAAGACACAGAAAATGGCATTAAAAAAAAAAAAGGAGCCCTGGCCTATTTGGCTCAGCGGTTGGAGCGCCGGCCTGTGGAGCAGAGAGTCTCGGGTTCGGTTCCCGCTAGGGGCATGTACCAAAAAAAAAAAAAAAAAAAAAGACAAGAGCAAGGGGAGCCTGATTCATGGGACCCCATCATAAACGCGTCCATTTGGTCCCATAACATGCGGGTGACACGCCGGATCGGCCAGTCCCAGGGGTGTGCGCTTCTGAGGCGTGGACCCTGCCTGCAGACAGGAGGACGCTGGCCTCTGTCCATGCACACCCGTGGTGCCCTATGGGGAGCCCACAGCCGCCTTTGGGCCCCTAATTACCTCCGTAACCCCAAGCCCCCGGCTTCAGCGAGGGCCATCGGCTCTGCGCTGGGAAAACGCAGAAGGTGCTGCTCTGCTAGCCTTCGGCAGGGCCCGAACTACAGTCCCCACGGTGTTCGCGTGTATGACCCACAGCAGTGAATTGAGCACCCGCCACCCAAACTTAGCCGAATAGGAGATGGAGCCTTCCAGTGGGGCACCGGCGGCGGGGCTGCCGGAGGGGCAAGAGCGCCACCTACCGGCCGGCAGGGCGCGGCGCGGCAGGGTTCCTGGAGCATCAGCTCCACGGGCCAAGGCCGCCCTGGAGGATGCTGACTCCAGTCCGCCGCCGCAGATACCCCGCGGCCCTGAAGGGAGCACCAGTCAGGGCGCCGCCGGTCTCTGCAGAACCCACCCTGTGCAGCTTCGATCCGGGCTACAGACCATCACGAGCTAAGTGGGAGAAGGAGGTAGTGGGCCATGTATTTCAAACCCAAGTCATAACTACGCCGCATTGAGCTGTCGGCCGGCAGGTGCTGGGAATCAGTGACGCGTAGTCCTGACGGTTGTCATAGCCGCGCCGGACTCAACGTGGACCTGGGTGCGCCTAACTCCGTCCCTGGGTCGCCACAGGACTGCCCGGCTGCTGGGGAAGCAGTTTGACCTCCAAGTTCCCCAACTGCGGAGGATGGGAGTGGGGTCCGACCCTCTCCCTGAACGTCTCCCTCATTCACAGAACGGAGCCCTCCCTCCCTCTTCCTATGATCCGAGAGGGGGAAAGACGGAGGCTGTGTGTCCAGACTTCCCAAAGGGCCATTTCATCGCCTGGGGACCCTACAAGCCCCCGAGAAGGGTCTCTGTCCTCATCCCGCAGGATGAGGTATTGGCCTTCATGCCCAACAAAGCGACTGAGACCATGGCCGCTTGCCCCCAAATGGTTTGTAGCCCTGGAACAGTGACAGGCAGATGTGTGAGTAGAACCAAGCGACACCCCCAGGAGGAGCCAGGATGTGGGGGGAGTCAGGACCCAGAGCGGGCTCCAGGAGTATCCCTTCTTCCGTGGTCCCAGGAACTCTGGGCCCCTTGGGCTCTGGAGGGCAGCTGGGGGCGGGGGACACAAACAGAGGGCCCTTGTTGTGCAGTGACTGGCTCACAGCCCCTGCCTTTGTGGCCATGGGCCAGGACCCCATACCCTAGCCGCTTCCAGCGCCCCCGATTGACCGCAAAGGAATGCTGAGGCCCAGAAGTGACTTGTGCCATCACAGGAACAGCTGGAGAAAGTCAGAAGCCAGGTCCTAACTGCCACCCTGCATACGGCCACACTCAAAGGCACAGTGAGCAGAAGCTCCCTTCTTCCCTGGCTGACCACACGTCAGGTATAAGTCTCTGTTCTTGTATCAAACACTCCGCCTTCTAAAGTGAGTTAGGGACAAAGCGTCGCCTTTAAACCCAACATTTTGGGGTTTTTATGACAGCCTCCGTGATCCTGGCCCATTGTGTTTTGTTTGCTTGCGTTTTCTTCACTTGATCTTAGCCAAAAGGCCGAGAAGCGATGCTTGTGTTTTCTTAATTGCAGCTTAAAGAACACCCTAAGAACAAAAATCCATATTGTTTATTCCGCTCCGGACCTCGCCGTCCCCTCCCCCACCCCAGCCTTGCCAATTTGCAAAGACCAGAAAATTCCCCAGCAGGCTGGAAACCTGTCCGTGGCGGACCCCAGCTGGAAAGCATCGAGCTCCACCAGGATTTAGACCCATTTATAATGGAAACCCTGACGGGCCATGCGGTAATTATAGTTTTGCCATAATGAATGTTTCTGTGTGGTCAAAGTCATGGGTTTTTCCAGGGTATTTTTCCATGGGAGATTCCTCCCTGAGAGATCTTAATTTAAAATCTGGATTGTAGCTTCGACTTCAGAGTTGGGGTCTTTCCTGGCACCGTGGGGCTGACAGCTGACGAGGGTGTTGACTTTGGTGGTCAGGACTAGCAAGGGGCCGATCAGTCAGATTGATTTTTGAAAGATTGGTAGGGTGGGGGGTGGGAGTGGGGGGTAGCAGCTATTTTGGGGACTCGCATCTCTCCCAGATGTGTGACCCCGGAGTATTTCCGCTGCTCACTGGCTTGGTGGCTACAGCAAGTAGGGAAAGTGAGTACCACGAACGGGGATGAGGTGACGGCCATCCTGTCGGGCCTGGGACTCTGCTTTTAGCCCTGATAGCTCAGGTTCCTGCAACCCTCCCCGTGCTGGGGAGGCCAGGAGAGCTGGTCATCCTAAATGCTCTGGAAAATGGAATCAAATCTACTTGATTTTATTAGGATATTTTTATTGTTGATAGTATTACAGATGTCCCCCCTTCCCCGCTGCGTCCCTCCCCCCAGGCCCCGCCCCACCCCAGGCCTTCACCACAGTATTGTCTGTATCCGTGGGCGATGCACATACGATCCTTGGCTAATCTCGTCACCTTTGTGTACCAGCTCCCCCCCTTCCCTCTGAGGTCTGTCAGCCTGCTCCATGTACCCATGCCTCTGGTCCTACGTTGTCCGTCAGTTTACTTTGTTCATTAGATTCTGCGCATAGGTGAGATCATGGGACACTTGTCTTTATTTTAAAGACAGCGACCAGATGGTGTAAGGAGAGAATCTCGCTTGGTGCTGGAAAGACCGCTGTGCCATTAGCACTCAGCTGGAGAACCGACGCAGCGAGGACCCAGGAGAAATGTGAGCCCCTGGAGCCTGGCATTGCAGGAGGCACCGCAAATCCACGCCAGCCGCCAGCCGCTGCCGGCCTAACGAGCGGGGTTAACTGCCCTCTGGGCTTCTGGGGGCACGAGCAGATGAGGCCTTTCAGGCCTGTGGGTGCTCTCGGAGGCTGCTGCCCAGGGTCCCGCTTCTCCAAGCGTGTCCCACAGGCCCTGGGCGCTCTGCCAACACCCCTCTCTGCCAGAAGGAACTCGGAGACTGACTTGGGGAGTTGGGGTCCCCCTCTGCTCGAGGGCCTCCCTTTCTGGACCTTCTCTTAGGTAGGTGCTGCCAAGAGGTCGCGACCAGTGGTCCTTGAGCCAGGCCTCGCCAGGGCCCACAGCTGGAGACAGCCCACCCGAGGAGGTGCGGTCGCCGTGGAAACACGGATGGAAATGCACCCGGCTTCCTGCGGGGCGGGGACAGCGGGCGCCCTGCGGGGGGGGGGGGGGCGGCCTGGAGTCCACGCCTGCGCAGCCTGCAGTGCCAGGGCCCCTCGGCGCCCCCTTCCTGCGTCGTGGGGAGCCCCGTGGGAGGAGAGGGAAGTGAGACCCTCAGCCGCACGGAGCTGCAGCTGGTGTGGCAGCGGACGCAGGTCAGTGTCTGCGGAGTGACACCGCGGCCAAGTTCTGGTGGCAGCCCTCACGGGGCGCGGGACATGGAGAGGCCATTCGTTATTTCTTTTCATTATTTTAGAGAGAAGGAGGGTGACAGAGAGAGAGGAAGGGAGAGAGAGAAAGGTCGATTTGTCCACTTATTCGTGCACGTCGGTGGATTTTTGTATGAACCCTGACCGGGGATGGAACCCGAAACCTTGGGGTATGGGCAGGACGCTCGGAACACTGCGCTCCCCGCCAGGGCCTGAGGGGCCAGTCTCTGGGCCCCCTAACAGCAAGCCGGGTCTCTGTTAGCGCCTGCGGTGTCCTCTGTATTTCTGGAGTGAGGAACGGCGGGGACGGTAGCCCGACCGACGGCTGCAGGTGTGGAAAACTCCAGCTGCCCCGGGTCGACCTCCACCTTCCCGGATACACAGGCCTTCTGTCAGGATGCACCTGGCCTGGGCCGTGTCCCCGAACTTCACGGGGTGAAGCCCCGAAGTGACGGTGTTAGGAGGTGGCTAGGGTCAGAGGAGGTCATGAGGGTGGATCCGCAGGATGGGGTTAGTGCCCTTGTAAGTGCCCTGGCCTTGCGGCTCAGTGGGCTGGGCATCGTCCCATACACAGAGGGGCCATGGGTTCGACTCCCAGTCAGGGCACACACCTGGGTTGTGCGCTTGGTCCCCGGACGGGCACACACAGGAGGCAGCTGATCCATGTTTCTCTCTCTCTCTCCCATCCACTCTCTGTAAGGTCAGTAAGCGCACTTTCGGGTGAGGATTAAGGAGGAAAAAAAAGAGAAGAGACCAGAGAGCTTCACTCCTGTCTCCTCATCACCAAGGACACAGGTGGCCGTCTGCACGCCAGAGGTGGGCCGTCACCAGGAACTGAGCCTCCGGCCCCTGGACCTCGGGCTGCCCAGCCTCCAGAGCGCTTTAGGCCACCAGGCAGTGTTCTGTGACAGCAGCCGGCCAGGACTGAGACGCACCAGCGCTGAAGGTCACGGCGGAAGCTCGTGCCGGGCACTGTTCCGAGCTCGGTTGACATCTGCAGCCCGAGGTTAGGAGGGCAAAGAACTGCGGGGTGCAAGCCTGGGCCGGGGGGAGGTGGGGGAGACCCCAGAGGCAGTGCTTGAGTTGAGCCTTGGCAGACAGAGGGGTGGGGGGTAGGGGCCTATGGGAATCAGGGAGAGGGCAGGGGGAGACGGGTGGGGAGGGAGCAGTAAGCTATAACAACACAGCGAGTCACCGCAGGTGATCTGTTTTGTTGGCAAACTCTCTCCCTTGCACTGACCTGTTGTAGCAAAAGTTCTCGGCCACTGTCGCTGCCTTCAGTTGGCTCAGGTGGCTGGCAACCCAACATGGAGCTGATGGCCGGAGAAGTCGCCCTCAGCCAGCTAAGAAGGAAGGCTTGAGAAGGGATGGAGATTCTGACCCACACTTACAGGGAAGCATCAGGAAGAGACCGAGCGAGACGGGAAAGGGCCATTCCTGTTGAGAGAGCTTAGATCACAGGTAGAATCTCCCACGAAAGGGAGGAGAGCAGAACCCGGGCGCAGCGGAAATGGTGTCAGGTCAGCGGTGGAGAACAGGAGCCTGGCCGAGACCTGCTGTGGGCCCGAGGAAACAGGGCTGTGCATGCCACCGAAAACCACCCGCTAGGCTCTGACCAAGAGACCAGGGAGTCTCAGAGTGACATCTGCATGGGCAGTGAGGCGATGATCAGAAGCAGACGTGTCTCACCCACTTCCAGAAAGCCTTGCGTCATCTCACATGACTGTCCTGACAACACGGTTAGGGTACATCTTTATAAAGAGATTTACAATCGCCAGAGTCAGGAGACGCCAGCTGTAACAAGAACCCAGACTAAACTAGGACTCTGGGTTTTACCTCGGTTTCGTAGAAGCCACAACAAAAACTCACATGGGGTCACAGAGTTCGGAAAAGGCAGTTTTGAGGGGAAGCTTCTCCCTCCTCCCACGCCGAGTTAGAGAATGTCTCCGAGGCGTGTGTGGCGTGTGTTCTATGGTCAGAGACACAATACAATCATTTTTCAGAGGGGTGTGATGCTCCGAGGATGTGGGTGTCAAAAGTGGGACCCCGCCTGTCCAGACACCCAGGGACTAGCTTGATTTGCTGGCCTGTTCTCTCCTCTCGCCGCGACTCTGTCACATGACGAAACGCGGCTCCGTCTGCCTTCCCTCCCAGCTGCAGTCCCCGAGGACGGACGCGGACTTGGGGTGGATGTGAGGCTGGGCTTCTCGGCAGGCCTCAGGCTCACCTTTGACAGTGACCTCCGACCAGCCGTGGCAGGGGGACCCGGGTCCCTCACGGGCTCCTGTGGCTCCCCACTCTCTGAGCCGCCCAGCGATCTGCCAGGGAACTCTGTGCCGGGACGGAATCTTCCGGCTGGGCCGGGGCCGAGGATCGGGCTGATGCTGGCCTGGAGATGGGGAGGGCTCAGTGGCCGGCCGGGGTGAGGATCGGGCTGATGCTGGCCTGGAGATGGGGAGGGTTCAGTGGCCGGCCGGGGTGAGGATCGGGCTGATGCTGGCCTGGAGATGGGGAGGGCTCAGTGGCCGGCCGGGCCGAGGATCGGGCTGATGCTGGCCTGGAGATGGGGAGGGCTCAGTGGCCGGCCGGGGTGAGGATCGGGCTGATGCTGGCCGTGGAGATGGGGAGGGCTCAGTGGCCGGCCGGGCCGAGGATCAGGCTGATGCTGGCCTGGAGATGGGGAGGGCTCAGTGGCCGGCCGGGGTGAGGATCGGGCTGATGCTGGCCTGGAGATGGGGAGGGCTCAGTGGCCGGCCGGGCCGAGGATCAGGCTGATGCTGGCCTGGAGATGGGGAGGGTTCAGTGGCCGGCCGGGGTGAGGATCGGGCTGATGCTGGCCTGGAGATGGGGAGGGCTCAGTGGCCGGCCGGGCCGAGGATCAGGCTGATGCTGGCCGTGGAGATGGGGAGGGTTCAGTGGCCGGCCGGGGTGAGGATCGGGCTGATGCTGGCCGTGGTGATGGGGAAGGGCTCAGTGGCCGGCGGGGCGAGGCGGGCTGATGCTGGCCGTGGTGATGGGGAGGGCTCAGTGGCCGGCCGGGCCGAGGATCGGGCTGATGCTGGCCGTGGTGATGGGGAAGGGCTCAGTGGCCGGCCGGGCCGAGGATTGGGCTGATGCTGGCCGTGGTGATGGGAAAGGGCTCAGTGGCCGGCCGGGCCGAGGATCGGGCTGATGCTGGCCGTGGTGATGGGAAAGGGCTCAGTGGCCGGCCGGGCCGAGGATCGGGCTGATGCTGGCCGTGGTGATGGGGAGGGCTCAGTGGCCGGCCGGGGTGAGGGTCGGGCTGATGCTGGCCGTGGTGATGGGGAAGGGCTCAGTGGCCGGCCGGGCCGAGGATCGGGCTGATGCTGGCCGTGGTGATGGGGAAGGGCTCAGTGGCCGGCCGGGCCGAGGATCGGGCTGATGCTGGCCGTGGTGATGGGAGGGCTCAGTGGCCGGCCGGGGTGAGGGTCGGGCTGATGCTGGCCGTGGTGATGGGGAGGGCTCAGTGGCCGGCCGGGGTGAGGGTCGGGCTGATGCTGGCCGTGGTGATGGGGAGGGCTCAGTGGCCGGCCGGGGTGAGGATCGGGCTGATGCTGGCCGTGGTGATGGGAGGGCTCAGTGGCCGGCCGGGCCGAGGATCGGGCTGATGCTGGCCGTGGTGATGGGGAGGGCTCAGTGGCCGGCCGGGCCGAGGATCGGGCTGATGCTGGCCGTGGTGATGGGAGGGCTCAGTGGCCGGCCGGGCCGAGGATCGGGCTGATGCTGGCCGTGGTGATGGGGAGGGCTCAGTGGCCGGCCGGGGAGGGGCGGGCCAGGCAGGCCTGCCCTTTCCCAATGTCTGCGGAGTCGCCTGCCCACCTTCTCGGTGTGGGGAGGTGTCCCCTTCGGCCGTGGTGCTGAAGTACAGGGAGGAGCTCTCCTGTCCGCCGCCTCCTTTCAGCTGCCCGCCTGCACCTCCTTCTTGCACCCTAGAAACGGAACCCGCTCCCCCCTCCCGGCTGCCCTCCTGCCCTCTGCACAGGAGCTCTGTCATGATGATCACCGTCAAAAGACATGTAACTCGAGGTCTCCAGCCAGTCGGCCCCTGCTTTCGAGTCACCTTGAAACTCAGAGCCTCTCTCTGAGGTCAGGGGGTCGCCAGGTGCCAAGGGGGGCTCTTGCTGGGGCAACAGCGGCTTCTCCTGCTGGTTGTCATGTTGGCTCAGGCCCCAGGGAGGGGGACACAAGCAGCCAGGTGGGTCTCCAAAGGCCGCATTGACCTTAGACGCGTTTCCTGTTTTCAGGGCAAGTTTCACTAGCAGCCAGTGGTGGTGGCTGCAGAGAGTCCCCCCAGCCGCCTGGCTTTCCAGCCCAGCCTCCGGGGGGCCGCACTGCAGGCTGGGGGGCTTCCCTTGGCTTGTTAGCTCATCACCTTCCCCTGGGCACGTGCCTGGGCTCTCCGGCCTCTCCCCAGCTGGAGCGGTGGCCTGGGGAGCGGACTCCGTCTCTGGGTGGCTGTCCGCTGCAGGGCCACAGGCGTTCCCCACGAAGCGCTCCCGGATGGCCGCGGACTCGGGGTGGAACCGGCTGTAGTGAGCGACCAGCGAGGCACAGCCTGCAGGAGGAGGCGGAAGAACACCAGGTCACGTCCCTCGGGGTGCAGCCCCTCCCCGTGGCTTGCAGAGTTCCCGGCTCTGGAGTGCTGAGTAGAATCATACAATTTGGGATCCGAACAGGGCTGCTGTTGGAGCATCAGGAAGGGATATTTGGGGGGAATTTGCACTGGCTCCAGCTTCCATGAGCGGCAAATGTGTCTGAACTTAATGTAATAACAAACCTTAAATTCTAAATTCTGGAGGGCGGCTCCAACTGGGTTCTCCGGGTGTGTGTGTGTGTTCCTGTGCGCACATGTTGTGTATGAGAATGGTAGAAATAAACATTTTACTTTCAAATAACTGGATCGAATATTCAGAATCCAACCATTGCCACAGGGGTGGACGGACTCCCAAGCTGGAGGGGGGAGGCAAGGAATAACCTCAACAACAAACAAGGTCAAACACCGCCATCGAAACCCCCAGATCAAGAATTTCCATGAGCAGAACAACACTTCCTCTGTGCATAAACATCTTAATCGCATTGTGTCAGGTTAATTTATTTTGATCAGAAGTGTTGACTACGGTAGTAGCTTTAACAGTGCATTCCAGCAACCTCCCCCGTTATTTCCAGTTTCCTGTTGGACCGAGTGCCCGGGTGCAGGGCACGCGTTATAAACAGCATGAAACCTGAGATGGCTTGGGGGAAGCTTTGGAGGGGCCAGAAGGAGCCCGACCGGACCCCCGGCCTCGTCTCCGGGAACTGTCACGAGGGGGTGAGGGTGGGAGGCGGCCAAGGCTCAAGCCGGGGACGGAGGCTGAGTCCCTCCATGACAGGGTTAGCAGTGCAGTGGGCACTGACCGAGTCATCTCTACATATTGTTCTGAACCCTGCCGATCAGCCGCTGAAGGAGACACTGTCACCCTTTCACAAGGAGCCACCCAAGGGGCACTCAGGTCCTGATCACATAGCCCCAGTACAGATTCAGACTCCCCCCGAGGCCATGACCGTCAAGGGGGTCACGGTGGCAGCCCCCCGCTGGCATGCAGTAGGCACTCAATAAATGCAAGGGAGCTCAGGGTGACAGGCAGAGCTGCTGACAGAGCCTGCTCCCCTGTAGCTGTGATCCGCTCACCACCTTCCCGCTGAAGAGGACCCCGACCGCGTGGGAGTCGGTCAGGCAGCTCCCGGTGAGGGAAGACCACAGGGTGACTGGGAGCCCCTCTGGCCGCGCTGAGCAGGTGCTGACCCTCCCAGGTCGCACTCCCCGAACCGGGCCACACGCCGAGCGCCCCGGTGGGAAGCTGGGCGTGGGGCACGGTTGAGGAAGGGTGCCGGGCATGCACTTCCGAGTCGGGAGGGCAAATCCGGGAAGCAGCCAGGAGGACGTCTCCCCCCCCCCTTGCCGTGTTCACAGGACTCAGTGATGTCTCCCGAGGACGGGACAGCCCAAAGGAGGGGGCAGGCTTCCAGCTGCCCCCTGCCCCCCGGAGGACTGTTCCGGGTGTGCCAGGAGCACCCAACCTGTGCCACGCGTGTGAGCACAGCCGGCACACCTGGTCACTCTCTCCGTGTCCTGTCCTCCCTCTCCGTCCCTCCCTCCCTTCTTCCCTTCACCTGTGCACCATTTTGAAAGGGTTCCCTCTTTACTGCTGGGGTGGGGAGGGAGGGGACGAGAAGGCCCCCTGGGTCTTACCAATCAGAAATCCCGACAAGACTCCTGCCACGGTCCACAGGCTGGTCCGCGACGCCCCCTGGAGGAAGTCAGTGGCGAGCAGCAGCAGGACACTGTTCTCCAGCAGCATAATCTGGGGGACAGAAGGGGGTCACCTCCTGGTCTGTTCTCCAGCAGCATAATCTGGGGGACAGAAGGGGGTCACCTCCTGGTCAGAAGCCTGTGGCCTCGGGGACACGCCCGTCCACAGTTCTGCAGTGCAGGAGGAGGCCTGGGGCCCAGGGGGGCTCCCCCGGGGACGGAGCCCTACTGGAAACACGGTCAGGGTCCGAGAGCGTCTCTGCACAGGGGGCTGGTCCCTGTCTCCAGTGCAGCTCATTACAATGTCTGCACAATCACAGACGCTCAGGAGGCGGAAGGACGAGCCCACCGGATGAGTGGCTCCCCTGGATGAGTCAGGAGGGGCTGAGAGGAGACTTCATCTCCTCCTTCTATATTCCATGCTCGTGTTAACTGTATGCAGGCACTACTCCTAGCACAGTAACTGAGAGCATCTGCAGGGCTCATGGTGCCAGCCCATTCCAGCAAGCTTGGGTCAGACTTTCAGAACAAACTAGAGAAAATCCTTTTCCAAGAATCTGCCTGTTTCAAGGTGCATTTGGTCTGCGGCCACTAGGGGGCAGCAGGGGAAGCAGTGCTTGCCGCTGAACCCCAGAGCCTACTGGGTGACCCAGTGGGGCGGCTGGTTCAAAGTCTTTGTCCCTCCCACCAGGCGGCTTACTAACTTGGAAAGTAATTTTCAACTATAAAATACATTTCTTAAAATAATTAAACTAGACCTTGTTCAAAGATGGTATGTTGAAATACGGTGTAAGAGATATTTAAAAAAATTAAATAGTAATGCCGTTGTGCTAAGGGTCTTGGAAAATTTCGCGTGGTCATTCATGGACATCATTTGAACTCTAGAAGACTCCGACAAACAGAGAATAAAAACGTTATTAGGAGCTACTTAACAGCCCTAAGAATGCCCCTTCTCTCTCTCTGGTAGCTTTGATCTGGGGCCATGTTTTCTTTTCTTTTATTTTTTTATCCTCACCCGAGGATATTTTTCCATTTTTTGTACAGATAGAGCGGGAGGGAGAGAGAGGAAGGGAGAGAGAGTGAGAAACATCGATGTGAAGGGACACATCGAGTGGCTGCCACCTGCACGACCAACCAGGGCCGGGGACAAACTGCAACCGAGGTACATGCCCTTAGCGGGAACCGAACCCGGGTCTCTCCAGACCACAGGCCGACGCTCTAACCGCTGAGCCAAACTGGCCAGGGCTGGGGCCATGTTTTCTATGATCTTAGCAAATAATGGAAATTTTAAGCAGCCATTAAAAACCAGAGCTGCTCTAAGCAGCCACCAGGCCCGTCTTCCTTAGAAGGTGGATTCTAAGGGTGGTCTTTTTGCTTTTGACGCCCCTCCCCCCCGCCCCCAGAAGGCAGTAACTCTTTCTTTGCTAACACAACACAATTTACCCCAAAGGCATAACTTTCTGTTGAGGTCTCTCCTCCAAGGAAGTGCCCATTAGGGAATGGAACGTCCGTGAAAGGACCGGGTGACAGGGCAGGCGTCCTGGGCCGGCCGGGGCAGTGTCACCCGCCAGCCGGGTGACCCTGGGTGTGCCTCTCCACCTCTGTGAGTCCACCGCCCCAGCCCTAGGGGGACGGTCATAGCCCCACAGCTCGGGCTGTGACGAGGTTAAGGGAGCCCGAGTCAAACGGGGAAGGGCAGAGGGACGCATCTGCCGGGGTTCCGCCTGCAGACTCCACTGGGGACTAAGGTAGTGTCTAGGGTCTGTGCTTCCCAGTGAATCACCCTTACCCCAGGGGCCTAGTGATGAAGACAGCCCGAAGCAAGGAAGGGTTTGCTTCCCTTCCCCGTGTAACGGCCTCTAAAACTCCGGGAGGGGGGAGGGGCAGAGGAATGATAGCGACCAACATGACAGGCAGAGCGGCAGGTGCATCACGTCTCCTTACTGTTCCTGTCGATCAGGGCACACGCGGGCGCTGGCGGCCGGGAAACTGCTCCAGCCAATGGCGATAAAAGTAAGTCGCGCCCTGGCCGGTGTGGTTCAGCGGTTAGAGCGTCGACCTGTGGTCCGGAGAGACCCGGGTTCGGTTCCCGCGAAGGGCATGTACCTCGGTTGCAGTTTGTCCCCGGCCCTGGTTGGTCGTGCGGGTGGCAGCCACTCGATGTGTCCCTTTCACGTCGATGTTTCTCTCTCTCTCTCTTCCTCTCTCTCCCTCCCACTCTACCTGAACAAAAAATGGAAAAATGTCCTCGGGTGAGGGTAAAAAAAAAAAAGTAAGTCACCACTGTGTTGACGCGCACGCGTGTGGGCGGTACCCGCAGGGGTGTCACTCCTCCCGCGTTCAGATGTGGAAACAGGCTTCCGAGGCTCTGCAGCTGGCCCAGTGTCACATGTCCCCCTCGGTCTGTCCGGCCCTGATGGGGTCACTGAGCTCTAGGGGGCTCTCCTGAAACGGGGTAACCACGCCGCTCACCCCCCACCCCCGCAAGCCTCTTCGTCTTTTATCAGCATTAATGGTCACTACTTGTGGGCTAGTTTGTGCCAAGCCGTGTGTTAGTTATTTAATCTTCACAGGGACCCTGAAAAGGTGGGGTTCCTACGACTGTCGCAGGGATGCTGCGTGTAGCCTTGACCCCAAAGTGTGGGAGAGAAACAGGTGCAGAGAAACATTCTTGGCCACACCCACTGCTAAGTCATTGTCGGGGCTGGGGTCCACGCAGGGTGTCCGACCCGATGCCCGCACCCGAGGCTGCCCTTCTCCCCTTTGCTGGGTGTAGCCCAACCTCCACCGTGTGCTCAGAAGCAGCCTGGTCCGCAAGGGGCCGCATACCAGCGTCCTGCCCGCGGGCTTCCGACATTGTTCCTGTTCCAGCATCTGTCCACACTCTGCCTTTCCCTTTTGGTTATGGGGTATAAATAGGGTCTCCAGTACCGGACAAGAAACAGCCCAAGGACAGACACGACGTCACCTTCCGATCCTTGCCCCCGTCGAGGTCCATGGCTGGGACCCAAGAACTGAGCCAGCGGACAAGGACGTGGTAGGACTGCGATGATATTGATCAGGTGGGCTGGCGTGCGGACGGGCGGGGGACATCAGCAAACACCCCGTTCTGGCTCTGGTGGCCACGCGGGCATCACAGGGCCCCGGGCACTGCTTGCGGAGGCCAGCACCCTTGCAGGTTCCCCTAGCGCGGAGCTATCCCTTCTCAGACAGGTGTGCAGCACAGGTGCCCAGTGCGCACACGCTCTGTGCACGCAGCGGGAGAAGCAAGGACCGAAGAAACCCGTGCCCACCACTTGCCAGGTAGAAGGTCACCGTCCTGCTTCTGGAAGGGCCGTCCCAGAAGTTGAGGTAGCAGAGGACGTACACGGCCCCCACGAGCAGGTCGAAGAGTCTCCAGTGGCAGGTGCTGTCGACGATGTCACTCTGCTGGGCCACGAGCCAGAGTGTCATCACCAGCCAGTGGGCACCTGGAGAGCGGCTGAAGTCAGGGTCCGGGCGGGGAGGTGGGGATGGGCAGGGGCCAGGACAGGGAAGCCGGGGCCTCGACCCCTCCTCTCTGATCCAGCTACGCCCGCCTCAGCTTTGGGGAGGAGAGGTCAACCCGAAATAGTGCCCCAGGGGCCTCCCTGTGAATCCAGACACCTGCCGTCCTGCTACACCTGTGTGAGGCCGCCTGGACCCAGCCAGCCCCAGAACCGGGGTTGATGAGTGTAAGGGGTTATTTCAAGGCACCAGGTCCTGGGCGGTTCGTTATGCAGCACGGGGCCCGGGCTCGGCTTACCTGCGACCCCAGACCCCAGGCGTGATGAGCTCTGAAGAACATGCCCGTCCTCCAGAGCTGCTGGCAGAAGAGGGCGGCCCATGGCACGGAGAGGTGACCCGGCTTCACGGAACCCACGGCACAAGCATAGCACACCAGGGCCCAGGACAGCACGCACCAGGAGCACAGGGCGCTCACCCCTGCGGGGGGGGACAGCAGTGTTTGTGGGACGTGCATCGTCTCACTGCAGCCTGGCCTCACCAGGGCACCCACACCTGCACCAGGGCACCCACACCTGCACAGGGCACCCACACCTGCACCGGGCACCCACTCCTGCACCGGGCACCCACACCTGCACCGGGGTACCCACACCTGCACCGGGCACCCACACCTGCACCAGGGCACCCACACCTGCACAGGGCACCCACACCTGCACCAGGGCATCCACACCTGGACAGCGGCTAACCACCCAGCAGACATGTGTCCGCGCAGCAAGGGCAAGGAGAGGTCTCCTCTGCGTAAGGCAGTGGGGAAGTGAGCTGGGCTCTCCCTCTGGGGACGGTGCCCCAGTCACGGACCCTCTCGGCCCCCATCTGCTCTGTTTATGGCAAAGCAGATCCTCAGGGCTCTGAACATGGTGGCCCATCCCAGATGCTCTTCATGTCCCACCCGCTGAAGGAGGTTTGGTCAGAGAGAGGGGCCGGGCACAGAACGTGCGGGCCTTCGAGCAAGGACAGTGAGTCATGACCTCCAAGCATCTAACGTAGGCGCCTACGCATGTGGACACGGCGAAGGAGAGAAGAGAAGGAGGTGAAGAGGGAGAAGGGAGAGCGATCCAGAGAAACGAGAGAGGAGCCGCCTGTGCCGGTGATTGCGGGCTGGGCCGGGGCGGGCTGGGCCGGGGCGGGCTGCCCACAGGCTCTCCAGGGGCTGGCCTCCGCTTTGCTGACTCAGGGGAACAGGTGCACTGAGCTTGCTGAGAAGCAGCGTGGGGGACCTCCCCTGGGTGTTTCGGGGTATTGACTGTCTACAGTTTCTATCAGGTGGACTGAGCCTGTGACGGGAGCCACGCCCCTGTGAGCCCATCCCCCAGTGAAAGCCGGTGCCAGCATCACCTGTGCTGGCCAGGCTGGGCTGCCCTCATTCTGCAAGCAGGGGCCGTCTGAGATTGTGGGGTGTGACTAGATGGGGCATTCGCTTCTGTCCCCCTTGAGCAATCAGAGTCGGCGCTCGGTGGCTGAGCTCACTCACCGGGCACCGCGTCTGTGAAGTCCGAGGCCAGGAAGACGCAGGTGTGAAGCAGCAGGTGGGCCCCGTCTGCAGCTGGGCTTCCAGGAGGCGCAGAGCTGACAGGTCGGCCTCCAGGAGCAGCTGCAGGCCCGGGCGGGGGCTGCCGCTTCCTTCCACAGGGCGGTCACGGTGACATCCCAGTGCCTGGGGGAGGGGAGGGTGCCGGTGCAGAGCCTGACTGTGCCCGCTTGCCCGGGACACCCCCTTTTTCTGGCTGCTTGTTGGGACCTGTAGCATTGCCGAGGATCCCTGCTCTGGGACCCCAGACGGGAGATGCTGCACAGGTGACCCTGCTCAGCCCACCTGAGGGACGGGAGAGGGTGGCGGGCCGGGAGCCCAGACCAGACAGGTTTCTGGGGGCTCCTTCTGAGCCAGGCAAGCTTTGGAGCTAACCCCGACCTGCGCCCCATCCCAGAACCTCGAGTTGGGAATTAATGCGCTCAGAAAATGCTTGTCGCCAGGTACCAGGTCGTCATCGCCAGGAGGGGGACAGAAAGCTCGTCCTGGTTCTCACAGCATGGAGGACTCTGTGCGTCTCTCCCTGGGACAGACGCAGAGCAGATCAGGGGAGATGGGGGGACTGCAAGAGACCCAGGTGGCCACCAGCAGCGTGAATGGGTCTCCATCGAGAAACAGAGAGCCCGATGTAGCCCCATTTCCGAGGACGGCTCTGGGTCAGGGGGCCGGAGCGTCCCCAGAGCCCAGAGGCAGACTTGTGGCTTCTCTCAGGTGACTGCGCACCTCTCCCTTTGAGCAGATGTTTGCTCAGAAAACGCTGACTCATTGTTTCAGCAGTCTGTCCTTGAGGTCACAGACTTGATGACTAAAACAAACCAGGTGGTCCCCGGAGAGACCTGCGCCCTTAGTGGTATTCTTACCAGGCTGGGCGGAGGCCAGGGGTAGGCATGGCGGGTAGTGCCTCTAATCCTTTGAGAGTCCGCTAGCCAGTCAGCTCTTTTCAGAGGATTTGCACAGGTTGAACACAAAGGCCCATCATTAGTCAAAACTGCTGTGGCTGAAAAATGTACTTTGGGTGCCATTAGGGATCTAGGGCTCCAGCTCTGAGGGACCCATGAAGTTTGGGGTGCTTGTTTGATGTCTCTTGTAGGAGCCCTCTCTGCCTCCAGCCTGAGTCTCCTCTGGGAGGAATTACAGGTGGATTGCAGGTGAGCCTGCTGGCACCGGGCCGATCCAGGCTGCTTTTTTTATGGAAAAATCTGGCCCTGGCTCCCACAGGACCTCTTCCTGCCACGAGGTCTGATGGGTGGTCGGCAGCCTGGCTGCGCTGACTGGTCGGCGGTCAGGGCTGTGCCCACTTCGCTAAGGTACTAGAGGTGGAAACTGACTTAAGCAACCCACTTTCTATGGCCGGAAAAGGCTCCACTAAGAATGGACACACCAGTAAGAGAATTTGGCTCAAGTCAAGAGAAGGCTTTGGAAGGGTCACAGCTGCCCCGGGAAGGAAGGCGCCCCCTGCTGACCGAGTGCTCAGGGACAGGCAGGCGGGAAGAGGGGGTGCCAGCGGCAGAGCAGGGGTTCTGCTGGTGGCTCCGAGCACCCCGACTCCAGCTGTCAGGCCCCCACAGGTGGGACGGGAGCGCACGGAAGAGCCCGCCCACGGCACGCAGTCACGAGGCTCACCGCTTCCACACGCCCAGCCGGAGGGGTGCAGCGCCGCCAACCAGAGATCCCCTCCATGTCCGTCGGCGCGGGACCACAGGTAGCTCAGGCCCTGGACCAAGAAGCCAGGCAGCAGCACAGCGAGGGCCAGCCACCCCCAGAGCAGCTGTCCGGACGTGAAGTAGTAGACCGTGGCGCAGAGGCCTGGGGGCTGAGGGAATGGTGGCGTGAGCCCGGACACCAGCACCGTGTCCCCACCCGGGGACCCAGCCTGGGAGGCCGCAGCGCCGGCGGGCGGGCAAGGTGTGTGGTTGAGTGAAGGCACCTGGGCACCGGAAGGATCGGACACCAGGGACGTGTGAGGGGCTGCTGGACGGCACAGGACACACATGGAAAACATCCCTGGCACCTGGTACGTGCTCAGACCTCCCCTCTGGGGACTGCTATGCCTTTCATTTTTCAGGGAGGTAGGTGGAGGCAAAGCGAGGTTAGGGTCTGTGCCCCCCCGCCCCCGCAGTGGGGGGTGCTTGTGTGTCTGGCACTGGCAGGCCCAGGGACTCAGCCGTCCTCTCCTGTGGCCAGGGCTGGGGTTCTGACACCAGGGTTTACAACGGGCACAGAACACCGGGCTGGGGCAGACAGAACGACCCTTGATGCCAGTGGAATGGGGGGAAGGGTGGGGGGTGGAGTGAGCAAGGGCAGTCAGGGTCCCCGCACAGTCTGTGGAGGAGGGATGCTGAGGCCCAGGCGGCGCCGGAGGGGACGTCTCTTGGGCTGGCCGGTGCTGAGACCAGAGGGTCCCGTCCTGCTTTGGCCTAGCGGGGCCTGGATGCGGGGCTGGATGCGGGGCCATTGGAGTGGATCTCGAGTCTCACTCGGGCTCCTCCCGGTGCACCTTTGAAACAGTGCGGCAGGGGCACCCTGAGCGGACCAGAGAGACAAAGGTTCAAACAAGGGTCCCCACTAACCCCGAGGCAGTAACTGGCTCCCAGGGGTGAAGTGCAGAGCCCGCGCCCGCGGGAACCCCAGCCGTGTACGTGCTGGGGAGGGAGGGGCGTCGCCCTGAGGGTCCCGAGGCTGTGGCCAGTGAAGGCGCCCCTCCTCCCTGCTCGGGACCTGGCGGGGCAGGACTACCTGCCGGGAGCCCAGCGGAAGTGGGCGGAGACTGGACCCCCTCCGGCACCGAAGGAGTTACACATTCAAACTAGAAAGGCGCTGAAAGTGTTGTGATCGGGCCTCGCCTCTGCTGGCAGGGACCCGGCGCCCCAGGGACCGGGGTGTCCCCAGCAGGCTGCGGCCCGTTCTAACCCTGAGGCAGAGTCGCAGACCCCAGGGCGGCGCGGGCGCCGATCCTCGTCCCACCGGACCTCGCCTTGGCCCGCAAGCAGCCCGAGACCCCCAGGCCCGCCGGCGCGGTGTGGGCGCAGGGCTCACCGGGCCGGTCTTCAGCCCATGTGGAACCAGCAGCACTTTGCTGAGTCCAGGAGGCCTTTCTGGAGGGAGGGGCGGATCGTGTGTCAGGGCTTCGCGGGAGGACCAGGCACCCGCCTGTGTGTGTGTGTGGGGGGCGGCGCGCCTCCGCCGGAGGATCTCACATTTGCAGGGGGACCATGCACTGGCGGGGGAATGGGTCTCCTGCGCCGGGGATCATGCATCATGGGGCGGGGGGGGGATCAGACATCCACGGGGGTATCATGCATCTGCGGGGGGAATGGTGCTTCCACGGGTGGGGGTGTCCTATGCTCGGGAGATCAAGCACATGAGGTGAGGCGATCACGCATCCACGGGAGGATCGTGCATCCGCGGGGTCAGCTCAGGACTGGGGGGCTTGCTCAGCCGGCGGGGGTGCACCGGCGCTCAGTGCTGGGCTCAGGCCGGGCAGAGGCGGAGGGGTCGGGGTGTTGGAGGGGTGAGTTCGGCAGGCGCCCAGCCTGGGCTGCCCGGCGCTTACGCGCGCTCTGCTCGGCCGCCAGCAGCAGGGCGGGGAGCCCCAGGGGCCCCGCGTGCATCCTCGCAGCCTCGCCACCGCTGCCGCCGCCGCCGCCTCGCCCCTTCCCCGCCCCGTCCCTTCCCGGCCCGTCCCCGCCCCGCCCCTTCCCCGCCCCGCCCCGCCCCGCCCCCGCCGGCGCCCAGGTCGCGGAGGTTTCCGGCCAAGACCCGACTGCTGGGGCGTTTAGACCGGAGCCCTGAGGCGCAGCGTTGGGCTCCAGTTTCTCCCAAGTTGCCAGTGGGTCCTCTGAAATCTTACAGGGTGCCAATTGGTTCTCCCTCTGCATCTCCCTCAAATCCACCCCACCTCTAGATGGGCTGAGGGGTAACGAAGATTCCAATGTGCAAGGAATAGCCGCCGGAAAACAGTCTTCCCGGAGGTTGTGTGTCCTGCGCGGTGCACATGTGCAGTGTGGGCACACACATGCATGTAGAGTGTAGGAACTTGTATTTAGGCATGGTGAAGGTGATGATGACGGGCCCAGGGTCCAACCCCTGAAGCAGGCCATCAGCCAAACTAGTTTCCTTTTTATTTTGGGGGTGTTTTCCAGCCGCCACCCCCAGGCAAGGGCCTTTGCCACTTCTCCTAGGATCTGGTGTGCTGGTCACATGGTCTAATTAGGTGGAATAGTCACCTTTTCCCTACAAACACCCTGCTGTCGAAAAATCGCAGTAGAAGAACTTTTTTTTGTGTTTTTTGTTTTTTTTTAATTTATTTTTTTGTTACAGATATTTTACCTTTTTACCCCATTGGCACCCCCCCACCCCCCCTCCACCCTTTCCCCGGCTTAGTTGTCCATGTCCATTGGTCATGCATACATGCATATAAGTTCTGTGGTTTATCTCTTCCCACCCCCCCACCCCCTATCCCCTCTTCTGAGGGATGTCAGTCTGTGCCCTACTTCCATGTGTCTGGGTCTACTGTATTCCTCAGACTGTTATGTTCATTATATTCCGTATATAAGTGAGATCATGTGGTATTTGTCTTTTTCTGCTTGGCTTCTTTCACTTAGGATAATACTTTCCAGGTCCCTCCATGTCGTCTCAAAGGATAAGAGATCTTTCTTTCTTACCGCTGCATAGTACACCATTGTGTAGATGTACCACAGCTTTTTGATCCATTCGTCTACTGGTGGACACTTGGGCTGTTTCCAGATCTTAGCTATTGTAAATAGTGCTGCTATGAACATGGGGGTACATATATTCTTCCTGATTGGTGTTTCAGGCTTCTTAGGGTATATTCCCAGCAGTGGGATCACTGGGTCAAAGGGAAGTTCAATTTTTAATTTTTTGAGGTACCACCATATTGTTTTCCATAGCGGCTGCACCAGTCTGCATTCCCACCAGTAGTGTATTAGAGTCCCCTTTTCTCCACACCCTCGCCAACACTTGTTGTTTGATGATTTGTTGATGACGGCCATTCTGACAGGTGTGAGGTGATACCTCATTGTTGTTTTAATTTGCATCTCTCTGATGATTAGTGATGTTGAGCATTTCTTCATATGTCTCTTGGCCATTTGTATGTCCTGTTTGGAGAGGTGTCTATTCAGCTCCTCTGCCCATTTTTTAATTGGGTTCTTTGTCTTCCTTTTGTGGAGTTGTATGAGCACTCTATATATATTGGAAATTAACCCCTTATCTGATACATCATTGGCAATGATGTTCTCCCATACAGTGGGTTGCCTTTCCATTTTGATGATTGTTTCTTTTGCTGTGCAGAAGCTTTTTAGTTTGATGTAGTCCCATGTGTTCATTTTCTCCTTTATTTCTGTTGCCTTAGGTGATGTATCAGTGAAAATTCTGCTCCGTATGATGTCCGAAATTTTGTTGCCTACATTTTCTTCTAGAATTTTTATGGATTCACGGGTCACATTTAAGTCTTTTATCCATTTTGCGTTTATTTTTGTGTATGGTGTAAGTTGATGGTCTAGTTTCATTTTTTTGCATGTTGCTGTCCAATTTTCCCAACACCATTTATTAAAGAGTCTGTCTTTACTCCACTGTATGCTCTTGCCGCCTTTGTCAAATATTAATTGAGCGTATTGCCTTGGGTCCATTTCTGGGTTTTCAGTTCTGTTCCACTGGTCTATATGCCTGTTCTTATGCCAGTACCAGGCTGTTTTGGTTACAGTCGCTTTGTAGTATAACCTGATATCTGGTATTGTGATCCCACCTACTTTGCTCTTCTTTTTCAAGATTGCTGTGGCTATTCGGGGTCTTTTTTGGTTCCATATGAACTTTTGAAGTATTTGTTCTAGTTCTATGAAATATGTCGTTGGTATTTTGATGGGGATTGCATTGAATCTATAGATTGCTTTGGGTAGTATGGACATTTTAATGATGTTAATTCTTCCAATCCATGAACAGGGTATGTGCTTCCACTTTTTTATATCTTCCTCTATTTCTTTTTTCAATGATCTGTAGTTTTCTGCAAATAGGTCCTTTACTTCTTTGGTTAAGTTTATTCCTAGGTATCGTAATTTTTTTGGAGCGATGGTAAATGGGATTGTTTTTTCCGTTTCTCTTTCTGTGAGTTCATCATTGATGTACAAGAATGCCGTCGATTTCTTGACGTTAATTTTGTATCCTGCTACTTTGCCAAATTCATTTATTAAGTCTAATAGATTTTTGATGGAGTCTTTAGGGTTTTCTATGTATAATATCATGTCATCTGCAAATAATGACAGTTCACTTCCTCCTTTCCAATTTGGATCCCTTTTATTTTTTCTTCATGTCTGATTGCTGTGGCTAAGACTTCCAGTACAATGTTAAATAAGAGTGGCGAAAGTGGACATCCCTGTCTTGTTCCTGTTCTTAATGGAAATGTTTTTAGTTTCTGTCCATTGAGTATGATGTTGGCTGTAGGTCTTTCATATATGGCCTTTATTATGTCGAGATATGATCCCTCTATTCCCACATTGCTGAGCGTTTTTATCAGAAATGGATGCTGGATTTTGTCGAATGCTTTTTCAGCATCTATTGATATGATCATGTGGTTTTTATTCTTCATTTTGTTTATGTGGTGTATCACGTTTATTGATTTGCGAATATTGTACCAGCCTTGCATCCCTGGAATGAATCCCACTTGGTCATGGTGAATAATTTTTTTGATGTATTTCTGGACCCGATTTGCTAATATTTTGTTCAGGATTTTGGCGTCTATGTTCATCAGGGATATTGGCCTGTGGTTTTCTTTCTTCGTAGTGTCTTTTCTGGTTTGGAATTAGAATTATGCTGGCCTCATAGAACGTGTTTGGAAGTCTTCCTTCTTCTTGAATTTTTTGAAATAGTTTGAGGAGAATGGGTGTTAGTTCTTTTTTGAATGTTCGGTAAAACTCCCCCGTGAAACCATCTGGGCCTGGGCTTTTGTTTGCTGGGAGAGTCTTGATTACCTCTTCAATTTCCTTAGTTGTTATTGGTCTGTTCAAGTTTTCTATCTCTTCCGGGAATAGTTTTGGGAGACTGTGTGTTTCTAGAAATTTGTCCATTTCTCTTAGATTGTCGAATTTGTTACCATATAGTTGTTCATAGTAGTTGTTAATGATCTTTTGTATTTCCGTGGTGTTGGTTGTTACTTCTCCTCTTTCATTTCTGATTTTGTGTATTTGGGTTCTCTCTCTTTGTTTCTTGGTGAGTCTAGCTAAGGGTCCATCAATCTTGTTTATCTTTTCGAAAAACCAGCTCTTTGTTTCATTGATCCTTTGAATTGTTTTTTTGGTCTCTATGTCATTTATTTCTGCTCTGATCTTTACTATTTCCTTCCTTCTACTTGCTCTGGGGTTTTCTTTTTGTTTGCTTTCTAATTCTTTAAGTTGTGAGGTTAGACAGTCAATTAGAAATTTTTCTTGTTTTTTGAGGTAGGCCTGTAGTGCTATGAACTTCCCTCTCAGAACTGCTTTCGCTGCATCCCATAGATTTTGTGTTGTTGTGTGTTCATTTCATTGGTTTCCAGGAAGTTTTTAATTTCTTCCTTGATCTCCTCGGTGACCCATTCATTGTTTAATAACATGCTATTTAGCCTCCATGTGTTGAAATGTCTTTGCATGTTCTTGTTGCAATTGATTTCTAGTTTCATGCCATTGTGATCTGAGAAGATGCTTGATATGATTTCAATCTTCTTGAACTTGTAGAGATTTAGTTTGTGTCCTATCATGTGGTCTATCTTTGAGAAGGTCCCATGTGCACTTGAGAAGAATGTGTATTCTGTAGTTTTGGGGTGTAATTCTCTGTAGATATCTATTAAATCCATTTGGTCTAGTGCTTCATTTAGAGTCTCTGTTTCCTTGCTAATTTTTGCCTAGAGGATCTATCCAGTGCTGTCAACGGGGTGTTGAAGTCCCCTGCTATGATTGTATTGTTGTCGATTTCTCCTTGGAAGTCCTCCAGAAGATTTTTAATATATTTTGGTGCTCCTATATTGGGTGCATATATGTTTATCAAGGTTATATCTTCCTGTTGGATAGATCCTTTCAATATTATGTAGTGGCCGTCTTTGTCTCTAGTTATGGTCTTCATTTTGAAATCTATTTTATGAGATATGAGAATTGCTACCCCAGCTTTTTTTTTGCTTTCCATTTGCTTGGAAAATTTTTTTCCATCCCTTCACTTTCAACCTATGTGAGTCTTTTGTTGAGAGGTGGGTCTCTTGTAAACAACATATAGATGAGTCATGCTTTCTTATCCAATCAGCTACTCTGTGTCTCTTTATGGGAGCATTCAATCCATTAACGTTTAAGGTGATTATTGATATGTACTTATTTATTGCCATTTTTGTTTAGTGTGGTTCTATTTTTCTTCCCATTTCTACTGCTAATTACAGCAGTCCTTTTAACATTTCTTGCAGTGCTGGTTTGGTGCTAATGTATTCCCTTAGCTTTTTTTGTCTGGGAAGCTCTTTATTTGATCTTCTATTTTGAATGATAGCCTTGCTGGGTAGAGTAGTCTTGGATTCAGATTCTTGTTTTTCATGACTTTGATTACTTCATGCCATTGTCTTCTGGCCTGTAGTGTTTCTTGTGAG